CTACGTGGACACCTGGGGGTTGTTATTGTCTCTACGTGGACACCTGGGGGTCGTTATTGTCTCTACGTGGACACCTGGGGGTCGTTATTGTCTCTACGTGGACACCTATTGTCTTAATCAGAAGAAGTGGTGTGGCAGGAGGCCTTGAAGGCAGCATCAGTGTCCGGTGTGTGTTCTGATACTGACCAGAGGGATTTCAGCCGGTGGCCCGGTGCAGTCAGCTCGGCCCACTCCGATCAGGTAAGGTTTGTCCTCTGGACTGGGAGGAATGTTCAGCTCCGGACCTGAAAGGACAGCAGAGAAGGGTGCTGGTTCTAAAGGACAATACCGCTGCTTTTCAGGTTTTAATACAAATTAGAATTCTTCACGTCTCTGATGTCTGTTGCTTGATTTCCTGTAATTTATTTTTCAAGAAAATCAAATCTAAAAATAATCTGCAGAAACATTTCCCACCACCACCGTCAGTGTTGAATCAATGGGCTTTTTGGGGGTTTAGTTACTCGTATGCAAACCTCACCTGTATGTGTTTCCCAGGTAGCCATCAGACTGATCAGTGTCACGCTCACCGCCGTCATGAGGACGAACAGGACGGCCAGCGTCGCCTCCAGAGCAGAAACACCACAACACAACGGCTTCCTGCCCGCCATGCTGCACTGGAGGGAGAAATGGGTGAGTGTTAAAGTCCACTTTTTCTTTTCTGTAGACAGAAACCAAACGCTGACCGGAGCCGTCCGCACATTAATACATGAAACGTCCTGAAAGCTGACGGGACGCTGCCATTAAACGGTCATAAAGCTGGTCTGAGATCCGTTTCCGCGGAGCTACAGAAAGACTCAGAGGAAACAGAGCCGAGTTCAGACGTCAAAATGAATCAGATGGAACTCACCTTCAGTGTGAAACCAGGAGACAAAGTGTGTTTGTGTTGAGTGAGTCTGATCTGATGTCTGTTTTACAGGTTAGTTCAGCTGTTATCTAACCGATAAACGGTCTGCAGGTCCTCTACTCTCACTCCAAAGGTCCCTCAGCTGAGCGTCTTTATAGATTAGAGATCATGACTACACATTAACGGATGATATCAGTAATAAATCCATTCACACTGTTATCAGGATGATTTGTTTCTGAGACCTTAGAAACAGAACAGACTCAACTCAAGGTCCACCTTCTTACTGGTTCCAGAGCTTTTGACCGCGTAAAGGGTCCAAACAATCCGTGACATGTTCAGGGAATTGTTGTATTAATGTGAAGGCGATTGTCTAAGTGGATAGCAGGGCCGTCTTTCAATCAGAAGGCCGGCGGTTCGAATCCCGGCTCCGCTAGTCGCATGTCGACGTGTCCCTGAGCAAGACACTTAACCCCAAAAATTGCTCCTGTAGCTGTGCCTATGGTGTAGAAATGTGATAGACTCTGAATTGTAAGTCGCTTTGGATAAAAGCATCTGCTAAATGACTGTAATGTAATGAAACAGCAGCTGTTCACTTATTTATAAATATTTAGGATATAAATAAGAGAGAGACATCAGAGACATCAGACACACGACATCTTCATCAGATCACTTCATCAGAGATCTGACCATGAAGGTAAGTTTGTACCTTTATATATCTGATCAGTAGTTTTAGTATGTTAACAGGTTCTGGGCTGGATTTACCTACAGATACTCTACATATGATTTAATTAAATGTGTGTTTATTGTTTCTTCTGGCAGCTTCTCTAAATCTATATTTCTATAGTGAAAGGTAAAGTCAGTCTCTTTCCTTCTACAGTTGAAAACATCTATGTGACGTTTGGACGGAGGGATGAAAAGCCTGTGTCTAGTTTTAGTATTCCAGCTGTGCCTCTTCACGAAAAGTGATTGTCCACCAAAGTCTTGAACAGAGAGAATCCAGACAGAGAGACACAGGAGACAAAGTGAAGACAGCTTCTGGTTTATTGTCAACAGCAGATAATGATTCACATCAGGGCTTCAAACCTCCACCAAACGTTGGTCTGACTTTAAAACGTTCACTTTATCAGACTGAACACGTGTTTCCATCTAAAGGTACTGTGTGATCACATCTAGATCATCGTCAGCTGATGTTCTGCTGTACGTTGGTCCTGAACTATTGCACAGGACGGATCTTCATGCTGATGGTCTTCAGGGAGTACTCATTACTCTTCCAAGTAGCCCACTCTACTCCAACAGCATGGAGAGTACTGTCAGCCCCCCAACGATAAACCCCGTTGGGGTTTGCAGTGTGACAGCCGTTGTACCAGAACGCCCCCAGGAATTCTCTAGCACAGTTCCCCTCATAATTGTCCTGGTCTTTGTCGAGGGTGGAGAACTTCTGTCCGTTGTGATTACTCAGGGAGTCTCCTGCAGAGTATAATGAGAATATCATGATACAACTAATAGTGGTATATTTTTAAAACTGTATTTACATTGAGTTGTGTTTTTGGTCAATCAGTCCTGAGCATGAGGACGACCCAAATCCTCCACTATGAGAGCAGTCCTTCAGCCAGTCTTCACCTGCCCCTCCATCAGTGAATCCAGACACATGCAGTGTGTATCCGTAGGACTCTGGGTCGATGGAGAATGAGGAGTAACGAGCGGACGCTCTGTTTCCACTGAAGTCCTCCATGTCCACCAGCAGCTCGTACTTTTTCCTCAGAGTCAGGTGGAAGAGAGTCTCAAGACCTGAAAACAAACACACTCATAAACACATAGAAACATCCCGAAGTCACGACCGGTGGTTTGGTTTCAATCCTCACCGAGCCAGTACTCTCCTGCAGCGCTACCAAAGCCGACCTTGTATTGATCCCAGGGCCTGTAGAAGTTCACCGAGCCGTCCACCCTCCTCTGGAACACCTGGGGGACGAGATGGAGGGTTAACGAGCTGAACACAAGATGTCTAACAGCTCAAGTTCCCAGACATCAAGGTTTGAACCAGTGGTACGTCTACATCCAGGACTCACTGCTGTTGTTCTCAGTGGAGGGTTTGTGAACCTCGTTCAGTCAGTTTAAACACCTGCAAAACTTTTATTTCTACTTCTGTTAATTACAGAATATTTTATGTTTAAAGGCACCTTTGGCAGAGTGCTGCTTCACCATCCATCCATCCATTTTCCACCGCTTATCCGGAGTCGGGTCGCGGTGGCAGCAGGTCAAGCAGGCCGACCCAGACCTCCCTCTCACCGGCAACATGTTCCAGCTCATTCTGGGGGATCCCGAGGCGTTCCCAGGCCAGCTGGGAGATGTAATCTCTCCAGCGTGTTCTGGGTCTTCCCCGGGGTCTCTTCCCAGTTGGACGTGCCTGGAAAACCTCCAGTGGGAGGCGTCCAGGAGGCATCCTAATTAGATGCCCGAACCACCTCAGCTGACTCCTTTCGACGCGAAGGAGTAGCGGCTCTACTCCAAGCTCCCTCCTGATGACCGAGCTCCTTACCCTATCTCTAAGGCTGAGCCCGGCCACCCTACGGAGGAAACTCATTTCGGCCGCTTGTAGCCGCGATCTTGTCCTTTCGGTCACGACCCAGAGTTCGTGACCATAGGTCCATCTTACCCTCACTCGTGAACAAGACCCCGAGATACTTGAACTCCTTCACTTGAGGTAGGCACTCCGTCCCCACCTGGAGGGAGCAATCCACCGGTTTCCGGCAGAGAACCATGGCCTCAGATTTGGAGGTGCTAACTCCCATCCCCGCCGCTTCACACTCGGCTGCAAACCGCCCCAGTGAATGCTGGAGGTCACGATCCGAGGAGGCTAACAGGACCACATCATCTGCAAATAGCAGAGAAGCGCTCCCGAGACCCCCGAGACTGACGTTCTCCGCCCCCAGGCTGCGCCTAGATATCCTGTCCATGAAAATCACGAACAGGACCGGTGACAAAGGGCAGCCCTGGCGGAGGCCAACACCCACCGGGAACGTGTCTGACTTATTGCCGAGAATGCGGACACAGCTCCTACTGCAGTCGTACAGAGACCGGATCGCCCGTTGTAACGGGTCCGGCACCCCATACTCCCGCAGCACCCCCCACAAGACCCCCCGAGGGACCCGGTCGAAAGCCTTCTCCAAGTCCACAAAGCACATGTAGACTGGATGGGCAAACTCCCAGAACCCCTCCAGTAGTCTTGCGAGGGTAAAGAGCTGGTCCACTGTTCCACGGCCGGGACGGAATCCGCACTGCTCCTCTTGAATCTGAGGTTCGACAAGCGGTCGGAGCCTCCTTTCCAGCACCCTGGCATAAGCCTTCCCCGGGAGGCTGAGTAGTGTGATACCCCGGTAATTCGAGCACACTCTCCGGTCCCCCTTTTTGAAGATGGGAACCACCACCCCGGTCTGCCATTCCATGGGCACTGATCCCGACCCCCATGCGACATTGAAGAGGCGTGTCAGCCAGGACAGCCCAACCATGTCCAGCGCCTTCAGCATCTCAGGGCAGATCTCATCCACCCCCGGCGCCTTGCCACCAAGGAGCTTTTTGACTACCTCAGCGACCTCTGCCAGGGATATGAGTGAGCCTCCCCCTAGGTTCTCAGGCGCTGCCTCCTCTGCAGAGGACATGTTGGTCGGGTTTAGGAGTTCCTCAAAGTGCTCTTTCCACCGCCCGACGATGTCCTCCGTCCGGGTTAGCAGTTGGTCAGCCCGGTCTGCATAGCACCCGACCCCGATGCTTGTCCCTGCGGGTGGTGGGTCCACAGGGTGGCTGCTCCATGGTGTTTATTCGGGCTGAGCCCGACCGGGCCCCATGGGCAAAGGCCCGGCCACCAGACGCTCGCCTACGAGCTCCCCTCCTGGGTCTGGCTCCGGGAGGGTGCCCCGGTTTCCCTGGTCCGGGCGACGTGGCTGTAGTCCGTGGGCTAACTATCATAGGGGTTGTTTTGAACCGCTCTTAGTCTGGGCTCTCCCCTGAAACCTGTTTGCCTTGGGAGACCCTACCAGGGGCTAATGCCCCGGACAACATAGCTTCCAGGATCACTGAGCCACTCAAACTCCTCCACCACGATAAGGTGGCGATTCACGGAGGAGGTGCTGCTTCACCGTCACTGTAAATATGTTTAACTCTGACACTTCACAGCACAACACATAATCAGCCACTGGACTCATCTATTCTGGACACAACGGACAAACTGATGCTCAAATCAAGTCGAGGCCTGAGATCTAATGGCAGCATGGAGGCGGGGTCGTCCTCTGTCACCGATCCGGACTGTGATGTTCATGGACAGGAACTCAGAGAACAGTGGATCGTTCCTCTGGTTGGTAGAGAGTCTCTGCCCCAAGACAGGTCAAGTATCTTGTGGTTTGTTCACCAGTGAGGACAGAATGGTGAGATGGACAAGAGGTTCAGTGCAGCGTTGATAACTGGTGAGAAGATCTAGAGCTAGAGGTAAATACTCACCGTCCAGCGTCCTTCTAGTGAATCCATGTCACAGTACACCTACACACAAACACACACACTCATCAATACATCTGATGCCTCTGGAAATATTGAATATATCCATAGGTACTACAACCTGTACTAGTACTATTGTACAACTACAACTGCTTGTATCTGTTGTATCAGAAGCTTCAATCACAACTTGTGTCTTCTCAAGTTGAACACTGAGATCATCTGAAGGTGGCCGACGTGTACCTGGACAGCAGACATGGATCCGATGGGGTAGATGGTGTACACTCCGCTGGGTCGGGTGTTGTTATTATTGTGGATGTCACTGCAGTCCAGCGGCAGGACAAGAGCCATGCAGCTGGTCAACACGGGAGCCAGGAGCAGGATGACTAATACCGGCTGGAACAGAGGACACGTTGTCTTCATGTCTTAGCAAAAACTAGTTGAACATTTCTGAGTTTGTTCTCTGCAGTCAGAGCATGAGACCTGCTGTGCTTTTAAAGCTAAATGTTCCTCACTGACATCGTAACCAATGTGTGTATTTATCCTTCGTTTAAAACCTAAGTTAGCATCGCTAACAGGCACAGCTGGAATACTAGAACTACACGCAGGCTTTTGATTCCTCCGTCAAATACATGTGTTTTCAAACTGTAGAAGGAAGGAGACTGACTTTACCTTCCACTCTAGAAATATAGATTTAGAGAAGCTGCCAGAAGAAACAATAAACACATTCAATTAAAATATATGAAGGTAAATCCAGCCCTGGAGTGAAGTTGTAAATAGAGTTTAGTGCTTCATACAGAAATGAGAAAATAAAGAATCTTATGTCAATATTCTACATCCTCACACTCAACCTGTTAACATACTAAAAGTACTGATCAGATATATAAAGGTACAGACTTACCTTCATGGTCAGACCTCTGATGAAGTGATCTGATGAAGATGTCGTGTGTCTGGACGCTCTGATGTCTCTGATGTCTCTTACTTATTGTCCACAGATTAAAAAACTAGCAGCTGCTGTTTCACACGTTAAAATATCTTTGGAAACACATGTCCTTGAGTGTTTATCTTTGGATTACACAACATTGTTGGCACCCAACACGACCACACTGTGGGTGACTCGTGTTACATAACTCTTTTACTGAACCGCTCTCTATTAATCATGACAGTGTACACCATTAGACAAAGGCTTCTACACGAGATGTCTATCTGATAGTTCTGTAGCTCAATCTGAAGAAGTGATTCCGTCTATATTTAACTCAATCTCATGTCTCAATATAACAGAGGACTCGTGTGATAACGTTAGTCTCTCACAGGTTGATCATCTTGTCAATAGTTCTACAGACTTAGTTCTAGACTTTATTGGCCCTCTAAAAAAGAAGATAGTAACACAAAGGAGGTTCACTCTATATATAACCCTGAAACCAGTAAATTAAAGCAAACATAGTTAGGGCTGGTTCAGGTTTATAGTTAGGGCTGACTCAGGTTTATACTTAGGGCTGATTCAGGTTTATAGTTAGGGCTGGTTCAGGTTTATAGTTAGGGCCGGTTCAGGTTTATAGTTAGGGCCGGCTCAGGTTTATAGTTAGGGCCGGTTCAGGTTTATAGTTAGGGCCGGTTCAGGTTTATAGTTAGGGCCGGTTCAGGTTTATAGTTAGGGCCGGCTCAGGTTTATAGTTAGGGCCGGCTCAGGTTTATAGTTAGGGCCGGCTCAGGTTTATAGTT